TTTTTATTTTTTTCAGAAAACAAAGTCATTTGAGAAACGGAATTATAATGATAGCTGCGAACGCAACAAATTTAGACAAATACACGTTTTCGAATGCAATGGCACAGTCCGTGAAGCTAGGTATTTGGGAAGCGTCTCTGGACAACTATATTGATTCCATAGAATTCGTTACCGAAGATTTGAAGGCCGGCAGAAAACTTCGAATGACTCAACAGGAAGTGCTGAGGAAACAAGGGGAATTGTTCAAGTTGCGACACTCGATTAATTTAAGCTCGGATCTGTTGGACACACCGGACTTCTATTGGGACAGAGATGACTTGGAACGGGTTTATCAAGAAACTTGTTCATACTTTAACATTGCAAAACGCACAAGGGTAACGAGACATCTCTATAAAGTTACACACACACACACACACTCACAGTACAGATAATAAAGTAAATTAAAAGTCGAAGCATTTCTCTCAAAAACACCATTTCATTAATTTTCATTATCGAGAAAGAAAGAAAGAAGCGTGAAGAAGGAATCACTCGCAACTATTTGTTTTATGTAATATTTTGTTTTATAGGTGATAAATGAAAAATTGAATCACTGCGTGGAGCTCGTGGCAATTTTATCAACGCACTTGAGTGATCGTCATCACGTTCGTTTAGAATGGATGATCATTATTCTGATTATGGTCGAAGTGGCATTTGAAATATTACATTACGTCGACAAGTATTTTTCTTAATATACAGGAAGCAACGATATTCCATTCAGGTTTATAATAATTGTAGAAAATATAAATGAACGTCGACGATAAAATTTTTACAAATAACGTTCAACTGTCAGTTACTTTATTATTATCATTACTATTATTATTATTATTATTATTAGTATTACTTAATATTCGGATCAGTTAGAAATTTTTGATCCAACACGTGGATTCTGCTATTAACTACGTATTGTATATAGGTATAGTCTTGGTTTTCGGCGCTGACGTAAGATTCAGATAATGTCAGTTTCGAAATGCAACACGTCGATAATTGGTATATGGAACGAGGACGTCTGTTGGCCGCCTGAACATCGTTTATTCCTAACGATGATTGTATCCACGATTATTGACGTTTAATTAAAATAGCTTTGGACGTGTTAATATGTTACCTACATCGAGTGTTCCCTTCTCTTAGAAGATGAAAACAGAAAACGAAAACTCGACGTGAAGTGGAAATGGAAAGTATACCAGCTGTTCTCCCATTTCTTGTTCGTTCAATCGATTCGAACAGGGGGATGCTGTATCGCCGGGACGATTCGCTCGCTCGCAACGGCGATAAGTAATGTTTCTTTCGGCCTACCATCATCAGAGTGTCCGCGGGGTAGGGAGCACACTTGAAAGACGAATCTCGCGGCAACTACCACTCGATCCGGAGGAAGTTTCCGAAAAGAAAGAATTCATGAGCGGTTCCCCCCACCTTTTCGACCGAGAACATTCACCACGTGAACACTTATACATAGGCTCGTTTCTCCGAGAATCGTTTCGACTCGCTTACAACGTGTGGGAATCTGTACGTATGAAATGTTGCTAAAGAAAATGATTTATTCGGGATCTACCCTTGCTGGGTACATCCCTGCGATTCGTACGCATGACTCGCATCCTTCTGCGCCTGTATCGGAAGTAAACCATTCGTATATATATATATATACTATATACGCCGCCTGTTTCAGCGATAATAGCGTACCCACTTGTCGGCTAGCTGACGCCGTGGTGGTAAGTCCGGCTCCCTGTGGCCTGGCCTGTGTGCTCGCCGCCCCGCGGTTCAGCCTACACATACCAAAGACGACTCACGGCGATAACCCCGGGAATAGCCGCTTTTCAAGCCAACGGAAGCCAACGTCATCGCATTTTCGTCACGTCCGATCCTCGTTCCGCGGGATTATCGCTCGTCGGGATTAACGTCGATTCGAAGCGGCTGCCGTTCGCTTTCAAACGAAAAGATCATCATCGCACGCTTAACGCCAGCCCACGTAAGCAGATACCGATACGATACGACCGTTCTGACTGAATTTCGAACGCTCGCAACTATTCAATATTTCAATCGAACACGATCATTATTTCGCGCTCACGTCCACGCATTGGTTCGCGAAATATCGAGCGTTGTATGTTCGGCTTACTTTTACTTTCATCGTGTCATTCATTGCCTCGGTATATTTTTACGGATCGACGGACTGGATCCGAGGAGGAGAACGGATGATGTCGGATAATTTTCGCAACGATCGCGTTTCATTAACAATTTTTTGTATCTCGATTCAAATGTCCAAAGTGTTCTCGACCGAGCTCGATTCAGATAATTATACGATGTACGACGATATCAATGCAACCCGCGTGAGCCGTCGTCGGCGACGGCACGCGTCACGAGCTGCGATTGATCGCTCTGTTCAGAGTAGCGTAGGTAGAGGAGTTTCGCGCTCATTTTTTTTTCTTTTTCTATACGCGATTGCCACGCGTCAAGGGCCACGGATCTCTTTTCTCCGTTCTACTTCTCGCGTTTCTTTTTTTACCCGGCGAGGTACACACGTACGTACATACGTATACGATGTATATTATATACCACGGTACTAGAACGAGTACGATACAAAGCCCCGCCGTTGTATCCGATGTAACCATTTCACTTACGACCATTCGTCCTTTTATCGCCGGCTTCCATTTGTGTGACATCAGCCAATTTAAAAAGTTTCTCATTTCCACGTGTACAGTAGAAACTTTATCAAGAGTGGACGTAAATAAGGAAAAGACAGTAATAAAAATGTAGCCTTTAATCTCCGCTAGTTCCATGTATATAGTATATACATATACATATACGTTACGAGGAATCGGAGAAAAATGAGCCGTCCGCGTAATTTGTAACAGATTTTAAATTTATCAAGTTGCAGCTTTAATTATCCTTTGTACTTTTTCTTGTTCGTCTATATTTAAAAGCGACGCATGAGACGAACTTAAAAACCCAATATTACCCGCGTTTATACAAGTTGAACCAGTGTGTATTGCAGCGGTGCGTTAAGAAGGTAAGAGTCGTTGCAAGTGTGAACCATTGAATTATCGATTCAGGTTCAAATATAGAGTATCCCTTTGGCTACTTAAATAATATACAGGAACAGAAGTATAGCGAATACTTGTTGCACATCTATTTCGAGCGTATATCTATATGTATACTCTTTTAAACTCCAGCTTCTTTTCTTCTTCTTTTTCTTTTTCGATATTGTCGTGCTGCGCTTCGTTTAATTGAACAATTCATTTTCGTTCTATTTCTACGTACGTTTAATTTAATAAACAGCTAAAGTGCTCTTTCAAAATCGATCGTTTGCATTGAAAGATGTTTACTAAAGATCAATTTGAATGACTCGAAGGTCCAGTTGAGATAAAGAAGAAGAAGAAGAAGAAGAAGAAAAGAAATGGATGTTGCGGCGAAGGATACAGGCAGAGGAACCAGATGGGTCTGTCCCAGCGACAGGCATTTAGCGCTGAGAGCAAAGTGAGTGTAAAATGTATTCTGCAAAAAAAATAATTATGTTCACTACGTGATGATTCATCATATGTGGCTAAATGATACGCGTATTATGATTAGATTGCGGACAGGATGGTCCGTAAAGACCGGGACTCTGGATTCAAGATGGACCAGTTCGAACTCGTACTCGGGTGGTGCAAACCGATGCACGCAGTCGTTCGTGTTGACCGAGGAAGAACAGCAGAGGATCATACAGGTAATTCTTCGCGCTTTCACACGTCGTCTGTCAGATGAATTTCTAAACGAAACTCGTTACATCGTGGAACTCGACCTCGGTCAAATATAATCTCTGCTTTAACATGTCGGAGCAAACACGAGTTGATCTTCTGCGCGGTGACCACAGGTGATCCGGAGAGCCGAAGCGTTGGATCTGTCGGAACAAGAAAGGATCGGTAAATTGGTCGAAAGATTAGAGAACATGAAGCGGAACGTGTGCGTCGTCACGACGACGAGAATGAACGAGAGGAAAAAGTGTAGCAGCCGATGCTATAAGAGCGCGCATTGCGTCTGTTCCTGCGCTCTTTGCGGTGAAAAGTTCGGCACCGTGCTGGGCGCGTCGGCACACCTCTGCAAGGACTGCCGTAAATACGTGTGTGAAAAATGCGGTATCGAGACGACTGAACTAAACGCGACGGTACCGTCGCCAAGCAATGGTTCAACGAGAGAAAGAACGGAACAGCGGACGACCATGCAACGCATCGTCGGCCGATCGAGAGGCAGCGGCGGTGGTGGTCAGAGACAATACCTCTGTCGGATATGCGCGGAGACCAGAGAAATGTGGAAGAAGAGCGGCGCCTGGTTCATCAAAGGGATGCCAAAGTACATTTTACCAGAGAAAAAGGTGAGTACGTCTACTGCCTGCATTAACCGCCTCTCTCTCTCTCTTTCTCTCTCTCTCTACACCCGTAATTCGTTAAGTTATTTGGAAACGATTGAATACGATGTGAAACGTTTTGTTGAAAATCAACAGGAGCGAGGATGGTCACGATCCGCGCACAGGACATCCACCTGGACGATCGGAGGAACCAGCAGGTCCCTTGAAACTGCGGAGCCTCAAGACTCTTCTTCGGACGAAGAAGCGACACGGAGACTGAGCACATTGACAGCACGAGGACAATCGCATTCGTTCTCCAGTTTACAAAGAAATCAAGATAACTTCGCTGCCGAAGCTCATTCGACCGTATCGAACTTGGTTCAGTCGACCGGCGGTACCCCGTCGTTTAATCGTAAGTCGTCGTCGTCGTCGTCGTCGGTTGGTCAACGTCTCTCGCCGTTGACGAACAGTCGGGAAGAGGATTCGGATCGATTGGACAGATCCACCCTTTCTATCCCGTCTCAGTGCAGTCGTATCCCGCCAACGCCGACCAGTCCTCGTTCACGAATCAGTCCAAAAGCTAGTATCGATTCTCAAATGGAACAACAACAACAACAACAACAACAACAACAACAACAACAACAACAACGTGTATCGTTCGAAGACGAGATTCTCGATGAGAAGAGCAAGAAGCCGGACGACATGAACGATTTGGACGGAGCCGTTCGTAAATTAGAACTAGACGCGTGCAATCGATCGAAAACCTATCAGGTACAGTCAGTCAGGTACGTAAAAAGGATAAACGAAAGAGTGGAGGTTTAACTGAGATCGGTTAATCCACATGTTGTAGATCAAATTCTACGATAACCGTGCCAACAACGACGACGACGACGACGACGACGACGGTAGTATCGACGATGGAACGCGTTCCGGAACAAATTCAAACGAGAAGAGAGATAAGCGTGGATCAGGAAAAACATCAATCCTGTCCAGAGCAGGAGAAGCTATCGTTGAACCATCGCGGCGTCAACAGTCAAATCGATTTAGTGCGGCAACAAATACCGGAGAACGGTATGGGAGGGAACGTAATTGAACGACGCGAATCAAAGACGCGTTCAAAGTATGTCGTTTGTTTCCAGTAGAAACGAAACAAGAAAATTATGGAACTCTCCAAGTCTCGTTGCGATACGACCCACTGGTTCAGTGCCTCCAGTGCAAAGTGGAGCGTGCACAAGGGTTGCGACCAATGGATATCTATGGCCTCGCCGACCCGTTCTGCAAGCTGAACGTGTTACCGGTAGACACGGTTACGACCACGAAACGACTACGAACAAAGACGGTTCACAAAACGCGGAATCCGGAGTTCAACGAGACCCTAAACTTCTACGGAATAACAGAAGTCGATGTACGAACCGTGAATGTTCTTCTCTATGTACTTTTCGTACGCGCATGCAGTCGTAATGCACCGTTCGTAAGGAGAGAGTTAATTGAAAATATTGTGTTCTATCTATCTCGACGACGACAGATGTGGAACGGCAAAGCGCTACACGTACTGATACTCCAGGACGATCCGGCAGGCCAAGACTTTCTGGGAGAAGCCAAGTTCCCTCTGCACGAGTTGCAACCATGCCAAACGAAACGTTATAAACTACCGCTGCAGGATCATTATCCAGTGTGTATAATTAAAAATTAAATTATTCTCATTCTTCAATTATTTTCCAACAACTTCGTGACCGTGACTTCACAGTCTTGGGATTCACACAGTGAGAGGGAGTGAATCGACAATGAATCAAATAAAAATCTTCGATTATGCACTTCAATACTTGTACGCGTCTAGCGATTCGATGGATCGGTTCTATTCGACACGTTCGTTGCTACCCGAAACGACTTCTAGGATCATCACATTTTCTCTACTATAACTATACTACAGTCGGACAACGATCGCGTGTAGACAGCTGCCAGCGAGGGTGTAAATAAATCAATCTGATCATAAAATAAGAAAAACTACGATCACTTTCTTGACGGTCCACTTTACTTACATCGTGTTCCCTCCAGACACTAAGATATAATGGAGTTCGACGTTGGCACAGGTGGACAACGAGGAGACGGCTTGGGGTCTCTTCTCCGGCGAACGTGGACAGATCCAAGTGAGTCTGAGTTACTGTACAAGACGGCGAGCATTGATGGTCACAGTTCACCGAGCTACGAATCTTCTTCCTATGGACAGTAACGGGTTCTCTGATCCATTTGTCAAACTGTGCCTTCTCGGAGGAGACACCGCCGCCGCCGCCGCCGCCGCTGCCGCGACGAACAATCATCAGCGTTTCGTATTCGATCATTCGATCGTACAGACCACTGCGAAACGACTGATGTCGAAGAGGTCCACCGCCAGCAAGGGCTACCAGAGCAACTTTCAGAGCACGAGCATCAAGAAAAAAACATTGGATCCCGAATGGAACGAAGAGTTCGCGTTTCCTAGTCGATTGACCGATCTCATGAATTTCACGCTGTGTCTCACGGTATGGGACAAAGATTTTGGCAAAAGAAACGACTACCTCGGTAGGTTGTCAGAGTCGAATCTCGCTTCGTTACGCAGAAACGGTACTTTCGTAATACACGACGCGTCTTTTGTTTGCTGCTTCTAGGTGGACTCGAATTAAACTGTAAAAGTACGGGAGCGCGATTACGACATTGGATAGACGCGATGAAATTTCCGGACCATCGGCATCGGGCATGGCACAATTTAGTCGGCACTACGTTGCTGCCTGGATAATTCATACATACATACATACGTACATACATATTTGCTGATAAAATATTATTTAAAACGTTTTAATAAGGTCTGTATAATCGATGATACGTAATAACGACTCGCAAAGCATAATTTATTTAGCGCAATTTCCCTGTCGTTGCTCAAGGCATGTACGCGTATTAAGAAGAGAGAAAAAGAACAGAAAACAAAACACAAGGTATCGTACTATATATTACGTGTGGAAAGAGTCATTATATGTGTGCGTGCGTTACCGGTCTACCATCAATCGTTATCGCTTCCGCTCGAGTCTTCTTCCGCTTCCTCCAACCACTTGATGAACGGTTGAACCGCGGCTCGCACCTTGTTTCTCGCCTCGAAGTCGTCCGTATCTCTATCCTCGGATTCGTACCACTCGAAAATCTTCTCTTCCGTCAGCACGTCCTTCTCGTAGAATAAGTGCAGCAGATGCTGTAGAAACGGTAACAACTGTTGAGTCGTGCTCGCAACCTCTTCTATCGCCCGCAAGCAATCGTCCTGTGCATCCTCCGTCTTGACGTAATTCAAGATGATCGAATAAAAATAAGTGATCATGATCTTTAAATTTCTTTGATAATTCTGATCGGTAACGGCTTCTTTCTTCTCGGACAGATAATGGAAAGGTAGGCTGAGTACAGCTTTGATAACGTTGTACGTCACTTCGCTCATGGTCACGTTGTACGCGTATCTCGACGAGTTGATCTCTAAAATCAGGTTGTCGCAGTTCAATTTGTCCTGGAAACCTCTCAGTAAACTGTCAATCACTTCGGACAGAAACATGTTCGTGTCGTCCGGAACCGGCGAATTGCATTCGGAACCATCGTCTATGCTTGTCACGTCTGTGGTCGAGTCGTCGTCACTTTCCGCGGTGTCGACGTTTTTAAAGAACTGAAATTCCTCCGCGTCGACCTCAGACATTCTCCTGACGAACATTTGATTGTTTCGCGATTCTAATATAGAATCCGCGTACTCGGCCGAGGTATCGACGATTGTTCCGGGACAGAGTATACACCCGCTCAAGCGTACTCCCGATCTCATCGAACAGTTGGAAAATATCACGCTGTTCGTGATCGTGCAATTATCTTCGATCGTATTGTTCGGCAGAACGTACGCATTTTTAATCGTCACGTTCGAGCCTACCGAACAATGATCACCGATCACGGATCTTGCGATGCAAGTGTCGTTTCCGACCGTACTGTTTCTCGACAACACGCTGTCCTTCTCTAATCTACAACCCTTAGCGAGGGTAGCGGTTCTGTGTTTATAAGTGGTTCTAGGCATCTGTATAAAATCGTTTAAAAACGGGACCCCGTTCGGTGTCAGCGGAAAGCTGTGTCTGTTCAAGATGTCTCTGTTCAGAGTGTGATACATGTTCCAAGATACGATCGGCAGGCTGTGATCCTCAGGATTCAGTTGTTGCCAGTATACGCGAGAGTTCAAGATCTCTTCGTTCATCAGCACCCCTCTAATGAAATCTTCCATTGTCTGCGAACGATATCTACGTGTTATATACAAATAGAATTTGTTCGTGGGGGGACTTACTTGAAAATCAAAATTGTCAGAGAACAGTGGAAGCACGGAAGGTGAACATAAGTAGACGTGAGTATCCAGAAAGCAGGTGTCGATCTCGATCTCGTTGTGGTCTAAGAACCAGCTCAGTTCCAACTTTACCTTCTTCTCGTCGTTCCTCAGCTTGCTGTAGTGTAAAATCTTCTTGCTACTCTTGTCGGAGACGACAAGACACGTCTCTCGCCTCAGAGAAGACACGGCTGTCGAACCGACGTTTCTCAACACCATGGTCATCGTCGCCCCTTTGTCTTTTTCGAGTCTCGAGCAATGATCGTTTAAAAGATGTACAAGATTCGCATTGATAAACGCGTCTCCTCTTATGAGAATGAAATTACCGCGAATAGAACCTTTCGTATCGATGTCTCTGAGAGCGTCACCGAGGGATGTGCAAGCATCCGATACGATCAAAGAAACTGATATTTTCGACCACTTGTTCTCCTTCACGTATGCTTTTATCAAATCTACATGGTTACTACAGTAAAGAAACAGTTCCTGTACTCTCGATTTGATCAGCGTTTCCACTAAATAATCTAAAAGCGGTACGTTCATCACAGGCATTAACACCATCGGGAGAACGTCATGCATCGGCGTTAAACTCGAGACGAAGTCGTCCGCGAGAACGACAGCTTGTACAATCTCTTTCTTCCCCATTTGAAATTTCTTTCAAAACTACCTGCCAGCACCAGTTTCTGTATATATAATATTTATATTTAAATGCAGTTGTAGTCACAGTTGTAGGTTAATGTATGTACAAACTTTTGAATTGCTTTTGAATGGAAGATGTAAGCTTAGAAATTTAATTGATTGTACGCGTGCGTGGACAAAAGATCCGATAGATGGCAGCAGGGGAGTCATATGGTATTCCCGCGGTGCAGAGAATCAGAATATGGCGGTGGTGGTGGTGGTGGTGGTGGTGGTAGCTGGGCCCTGCTGGGCCAAAGGGTAAGTTCGTGTTTCGCGCCACTGTGCGCGTCTGACGACCGCGCAGTTATTGGCATTTTCCAAAATTTCGCCAGCCAGTCAGGCTCACCGGTCCGAACACACCTTCGGAATCGACCAATCGAGACCCCGGTATCTATTGTTACGGTGCGTGGTAATTGGGGCAACGTACAACAATTGAAATTCACTCGGCCGCGTTGTATCTTCAACAAAATAGCTAAGAGTCCCGTGAAAAAAATTTACACGCTATTTTCAAAGTATCTTACACGCGAGTCTCTCGCGTATCAGATTTCGCGTTGGAAATCGTCTCGCCGTGAGGCGGGCGCTTGACTCGTGTACGTCGCTGGATGTCTACGAGTGTCGTCGTCGTCGTCGTCGTCGTCGTATATACCCCACCTTGTGATTCGACCTAAGCTTCGTCGTTGTCGAGATACACCTCTGCTATTGGTATTGGGGTCTCTGACGCGATCGTGGCAGGTTGGATTTGCCCCTGCTGGTTTTTCATCACTGGGAAGGACTGGGAACAACGTATATAGCCTTGCCAAATCCCGCAGTTTGAACAGTGAAACGTCCGCAACGTACTTTCCGCGTTCCGCCTCTGCCCGGTTCCGTTCGTTTTCGTGGTCGGTGGAAGGTGGGAAGGAAGCGAAAAGAAAAAGCGAAAGAACGATCCCGACGTATAACGTTTTATTAGGCGGGTCACGGGCCGAAATACATTTTCCTACATAGAGCGACGCCGTTGCTGACATTTCTTGCGTTAGACACGCGACGGCAAGGTATGGCGTTTTTGAGAACGGTGCCGCGTTGCAGTGCCGTTAAAAAGTTAAGGAAGTGTCTGCCACTTCCCGTCGCGTTTCCCGAGAACGTAACGAAACCGTCGTCGGTGCAGTTGGTACAGGTGCACGAACGCGAATACACCGGCACTACCGCTGACGCGAAGCCGGCTCCACGACAGATTGATCCCCTGGACTTGAGGTTTAACGATCCAGTCGCCGCGTTCAAGAGCAAAACTACCAAAGAACTTTTGCGTGCTTACATCGTTTATCAGCTATGCTCGATCGAATACATCGCCGAGAACAACATGACGGTAAGCTTCCTCAGAACGATCTTGTCGATCATCTCCCGTGTACTTAGTGTAAGTAGTCCTGCGTATCGTCCGTTAATCGCGATGACGTTCTATCGCTGAATTACGTGTTACACGTCTCTCTCTTTCTCTCTCTCTCTCTCTCTCTCTCTCTCTCTCTCTCTCTCTCTCTCTCTCTCTCCCCCTGTTACAGACGAATTATTGTCGTGACGTAGACTAATGCGAAATGGCATGACATGTGCTTATTTCGCTCCTCGAAATCTACGTAGCGATCTGTACCCATACTTTTTTTTTAACGATGCTAATCTACGTTCCGTTTAACATATTTAAACTCGACTATCTTCCAACCTACTGCCACTACCACCGCGATATTAAGAGAAGATTATATTCGAAGCTTTCGCTCTTCTTACCAATGTTACCCGATGTATAATTCCTTTCAGGTAAGCTGATCGGTTACGTTCTGCTACATATTTTCCTTATCCATCATTCCGTTATCCTTGAACATACCTATTACGGATATGTTCCACTCGTATGTGTGTGTTTCATAATCCAAATTCCGAATCCTTCTATTTCATGTTTACGCGATAATCGTATAATCTTGTTTCAGCCTTTTGATTTAATAATGCATTAGATTGACAATTCTTACGTGTATCTACGTGTACACACACATAGGCGTGTACATATTGCCTGGGACCAAGCTTTTATCAATTCTTCCTTGCTTCCCTTCGAGAAGCGTGAAGTGAAAAGCTGACTCAAATTGAGATTCAATCAGGATCTTTTCTCACTACGTAAATTAAGCATGGGCCTGGTGCTGCTCTATTTTCATTCGACTACATGGCTATGTGGCGATGTAAGTCTAACGAGACCCGCAATCCCTCACAGGATTAGGAACGAATCTGAGAAATCACGCAGATGAGATTTGCGTGTTATTCCGTGTTACCCCGAAGTCTCGTTAGTCTAATTTCTGCACGTTCGTTACACGGTACAACAATGGTATTTAGACCCGCCGGAAAAGATGCACGAATCTGCTGCGGGTCGAATCATTGTGCGTCACGGACGATCGACCGCGCCGACAATGTACCGTCGCCGAGAGAAAAGAATTTGTTCGCAGTTGGAGTAATATTGGTCGAGCCTTTTCCATCGGTCTGTGAAGCCTGTGCGACGAGAGTGAATTTTTCTTTAGATTTTTTTAGCGTAGAACAGCTTTTCATCGCGATAGAGTCCCGTGGCTGCGATTTGTACGACGACGTGGCATGGCGCGCGTTATTGATTTTAGTACTGCTTAATACATTGAATCGACCTAGCAATTTCGTCGCGAACTTGCACCGGCGACCAATTACGTAACTTCCGAGGGACGAACGGGGTTCGACACGAGGTTCGTCAAAAATTTCCAGCAATTTTTTTTTTTAATTTTAATTCTCGTTCTCCGATCAATTTTTCATATCTTTCAACTTTTAGTAAATTTACATATAAATCTTTGGAACAGCAACGCGTGTGTGTGTGTGTGTGTGTGTGTGTGTGTGTGTGTGGAGAGACACTGATTCTCCCCGTAAAAAATTGTCTGGGTTTTAACCGAAACGAATCGAGCGAACATCAGACATCTTTCTAATTTCGTTGAAAACATTTCGCGGGTATTCGCGACGTGCTAATTCCTGCTTAGTTAGCCATGTACGAGCATTATATTGATTTTAGTTCAGTGCATGGACTCTCTCTCTCGAAGCCGAGATTACATTTGAATGTTACTCTGACTGAGTAACGTCGTTAGTCAAGGCTTGGAGGCGATAAAAATATTTAGGGTCCACTTTATCGCTGACGGTATATCGGTGGTGTGCACCCTGTCAAATAGAAATGTTACTCAAAGTAGTCGTTAAATTGATTAACCGCAAAGTCGTTCGGATCTTAATAGGTGTTTGTTCGTTCGTTCTGTTATACACGTAAATATTTTTATGTCATATATGTACCTAAAAATGTCTCATTCGTAAACATGTACCTAAGCTGCTTCATCCCTTATCTGAATCAATAGCCAGTGACCAAAATCACTATTACTCATTCTGAAGCTTGTCATGTTGCAAACTTTTCCCACTACTTCTTCACATCCAAAGGTCATTTCTCTCAAAGTCCTTAAATAGCCCTACCCTCTGGTTTCCTCTGCCGATAGATTTTTGTCACATTGTCGCGTTCGTTAATCGTGCAACCGGAGCATATAACGAAAATTATCTTCCTCGAATCTAATTATAGTAGTAGTAGGTCTTTCAGTGGTGCACATAAATAGGAGGTAGACACACACACACACACTTGCATTCACGCATACACTCCGTGATTCACTTCCTATTCCGAATGTATAAACCGTGCAACACGTACCACGGCATATTGATTGTAATTATCGATTTTTAAAATGCGATATGACTCGTATCGCCTTCGCCGCAGTCTCCTCGTTGGAGCCGAGCGTCGCTTTTTACAACACCGATCCTTGTCTTCCGTGTAACATTAATTGCAGCGATGCTCCTCCGCGTACTACTCTCATTCCTCTGTCCTGAATTCCCACGTTTCGTTCATGATGCACACGTGTGAACGTGAAATCGATAGAAATTGCAAGGAACACGAGGAGATACGGTACAATTTTTCATTCGATGAATGAAAATGAAAAATTCAGTTAGGATGGCGTGGTAGTGGTCGAGTCGGTCGATCTGATTCATAATTATTTGCGCAGCGTTTTTCTTTATAACGACCGTCGTTTCAGTAGAGGCACCAACGATTCGAAAAGTTTGGAACACTCGAAAGATACGAGATCTGAAATGTCGTCTGTCTGATAGATATTACTATTAGACGAGATATGTAGACGCAGGGAGGCGTCCGACGATGAAGAGAGATACATAGAAGAAACAGAGTGGCAATATCGGTACTTGGGATTAAATTTCAAAATGAACCGTTGCAGATCTTGATAAGTTCTGTCATTATCGATCCGTGACACCTGATCTTTTTGGCTCCACATACTTTGGGTTTTCCACCGATACTTAGACTTTGACGACGTCGAATCGCGGAAAGACCCTCCGTTCACAGTGTAAAAGTTTAATCTGCAGATAATGAACACGTCATGATTCTTATCACAGTTTCTCAGTTTTTGCCGTAGGCATAAAAATGAGATCGGTCGCGGCGATCACTTGCTGCTGTTAAAGAGCGCGTTAAATTCACTCGTTAGGCCGTGATCTCGCATCCTGACCCTGAACAACTGACTGATTCAAAGTGGAGCGTGTCACGCCTCGAGGCGTTTGACTCGATCACACGGTGTCTATGTATATAGGTACCGCGCTTACGTAGGAGGACGGACTTTCAGACGGCTGCCAGACGATACGGCAATGTTTCGAAATCTTTTCATAAACAATCGTATCATCAGCACGCGCGTGTTGCACGCGTTGCACGCGTTGCACGCGTTGCACATGCCGTCGCGTTGTACCAGATCGGCGCCAGCGAGCACCGAACGAAGAAGGGAGACAGACGGTGGTACACACGGGGTACAGTGAAAGGGAACCGACGTCTGTTCCTCGTCGGATTCCGGACCAAAATCACGCGTACATAAGTAGTTTCAAGGCCGACTACTTCGCCTGTGAAGCTACCGCGTTTTGCGTCTGCGGGAGACACGATGAATCATGACTCTTGAGCACAGAGTCATTGATTCCTCGAGCAGGAACTCTCCTGGGGAGAGAATTCGTCGTTGGAAAAAATGTGAAGAGTCAACGACCGAAGATTCGAGTCGAGATATTATTCACGCAGCACCATTTCAATAGAGTATTCTCTTACCTATGGAAAGTGTCTGCGTGCTCGATTTCATCGTTCTCTCATTAATGGCAAGATCCACGTGTCTGCAAGTGTTGTTGTACGAGCACGAGGTAACAGTCGACTTTCCCTGTTGAAAAATGGATAGACTATGATAACCCTGACCGTAGAAAATCGTGCCCGGCCAACATCGTCGCCAAAAGATTCAAGCTCCTCTGCTCTGCATTTGGTCGGATCAGCTAGTAAGTAGTAATTTACTACGAGCTGTTCAAACCTGGCGAGACCATCAAACCAGGGAGATCGCTGCCGATTGCAACTAACGCGTTTGTGTCTCAAGCACTAAAGGAAAGATGATGACCCCCTGTACGCCAAGAGACACGACGAGCATCAGACAACACTCGGCCACATGTTGCAAAACCGGTGAAAACCTATTTGCAAACGCTTAAGGATGTATAGGCTATATACTTAAACAATGCTAACATGTTGAATTTGTTATTATACATTCCTATTACTATTAAAAAGCTACCTGCAAAATTTTAAATCAATTCATGGGTTTTTTG